CTGTCTCATGAATCACAGCAACAAACAATTTGTCTGGCAAAGCTTGCAACGTATCCTGTCTTAGCTAAAGCAGAATGTTGTTGCGGAGAAGTTCTCACCGCCACAATGATAATACATGCGGAGATCCCACAACAAATCAGGACTATGTTAAAATAGGCTAAATAACAAAAAAAAAATCAATGCAATCAACTCAATGCTTGGGGAGTAAGTGGGACTGAAGATAGAAGTACTCAGATAGACTCTAGTTGAATGCACACACACACTAGTGAAACAAATGGGACTGGTCATCTATTAACTCTACATGAGAAATCAATCTTTTAAATCCTGCCTACCAGGTGGGAGTAGAATGCTATTTTGACAACAAATAAAAGGAAAGTTTTCGGAGAAACAAATTTTAGTGATTTTTTTATTTTTGTTTTCAAATGATATCTAACATAATGAACGAGTCAAAACAGAGTAAACATGCAGTACAGAACACACAATGTACTGGAACAGAAAAACGTAACACAGTATGACCTAGTTTAAAAGCAATGCTCAGAACAAATAGCAACATACTGGGAAAAAGGCATAAAAACCAGTACAGTAAATTATCTGTAATAAACTGGTAAAAGTAACTGTAATTAATATCAATCCTATATTTCGATAGCAGTAAATAACATTATGAAAATGCATTACACAAGTACAGAATAAAAGGAGGAGGAAAAATTAACTTTTTTTTTTAACATCAAAGTTCAAACAAACGCAGTTTAGTTTTTAAAAAAAATGATCCGTGCAGTATATGAAATCTGAATAAGGAAAAATGTTGCATCCTCAGCCATTGCTTAGGCTACCTGTAGTCTGCATTGTGGAACTAGGCAGACTCTACTAACCACTCTGATCCTTGCCAGCTTTTCGCAGCATGTCAAGTCACAGACCTGATATTTCTGTGGCAGGCAGATTTGCTTAGTACACAAACTGCTGCTTATGTGACTAGCTCAAAGACAGGTTCACAGTTCTAGACCTGTTATGACAAGGTACAGTGTCCCAGATCAAGTTATAACAAACAAGGTACAGTGTCTTAGATCAAGTTATAACAAACAAGGTACAGTGTCCCAGATAAAGTTATAACAAACAAGGTACAGTGTCCTGGATCAAGTTATAACAAACAAGTTACTGTGTCCCAGATCATGTTATAACAAACAAGGTACAGTGTCGCGGATCCTGTTTTAACAATCCGTGGCACTAGAAGATACTCAGGAAACTCTGCCTTTATCTAACTGTTTACACCATGTGATTAACTCACAGAGCACTATTTAAACAGCAGATATGATAGCACTCAATGGTTTTCTGGCTGCCCTCACATCGGAACCTTTTGAAACTGTTCTATGATCTTGTGTCTTGAACATACAAATTTCCTGTGTAAAATCTGCATTTAACTCTTTATTTGCAAGTAGATCTACTGATTACCTGCTAATCAGAAAACAGCTGCTATCAGTATTTAGAAGGGTCACCGTATCCTATTACAGCAGCACTCTTAGAATTAAATTGAACTCTTGTGTGAACTCTGACCCCTGGCAGTTGCTTCTTGAACAGCTGAAAGACTGATGAAGTTACAGCAAAAACATCAGGACAAGACAGTGTTCAGAAATAACAGGACTACTGGGCCAAACAAAAAAAAAAAACCTGGCCTGGGACAGAAGGTTTAATTATGGCAGAATGGGTTTGTGAAACCGACTGCTGCAATAACTGTCTCGGGAACAGAAACAAGAACACATTAATGCTAAATAAGTGTGGTCGTGTTTGTTCTGTTCTTGATCTCAAACTAGGCTATTTTGGGGCTGGTGAAAAATGTGTGACTTGAGTTTCAGATCTAAATGTCAGCCTAGCGAGCAGTTATCAGAATGAGTCAATCACACAGCATGTACAGAGACCATGCAGCTGGGTACAAGGTATAAGATTGTAACAACTCACTGATGCAGCTGGGTACAAGGTATAAGATTGTAACAACTCACTGATGCAGCTGAGTACAAGGTATAAGATTGTAACAACTCACTGGCGACAGTACAGCTCGTGAAATCTTTAGGTTTACATAAAATATTCTGTAAAAGTTTTCTAAGTTTATTCAAATAAGGAAAATAAGGGGGAAAAAGCACAAATTCACAGAAATGTTTCACATGCTTGGTGAAGAGCTGATGTTTGCACATAAACAAGGCTATAAAACATTTGGCTAAGTCATGGCAACCACACAGTCATGCTCTACCATACAGTGCTTTAATGTCTTGCAATGAAACTAAGACAACACTTCACTCTCTCTTTCAAAGGGAGGGGCCTGTGGTCAGCTGCCCATGTCAACAATATGGCTGTCCATGTCAACAATATGGCTATCCATGTCAACAATATAACTACCAATTCTGACTATGCCAGAACCACAGGTGATCTCTATAATATCATTATTGACAAGTTTTTGGGAGCAGGTTTCACTTGGCTTGACCATCTGTTAATTTTCTGGACGAACTTAGCTCCATGCTATTGAAAAAGACAGCCAAAAAAATTTTGGAAGCATGTGGTCTGTTGTACCAAATGTCCAAATGGATTATGCCAACTCATCTCAATGAACTCAACCTGTTTTACTCATAGAGGCCTCTGTATCCATAAAGTTTGTACACTGGTTCCCCAAGACTAGACAAATCATTTGCTACAGGGGGGCATAATAAACCAGGACTTAACCCACAAGTAAAGCAGGTCAAGAAAGAGAAGGCTAGTGCTTGTCACAGTCAAGACTAGGTCATGGTGGTCAAGTATCAGCCATTCAGCTGCCAAAACTTTGCATGTGGGTGGTCAAGTATCAGCCATTCAGCTGCCAAAACTTTGCATTTGGGTGGTCAAGTATCAGCCATTCAGCTGCTACAACCTAGCATGTGGGTGGTCAAGTATCAGCCATTCAGCTGCTACAACCTAGCGTGTGGGTGGTCAAGTATCAGCCATTCAGCTGCCAAAACTTTGCATTTGGGTGGTCAAGTATCAGCCATTCAGCTGCTACAACCTAGCATGTGGGTGGTCAAGTATCAGCCATTCAGCTGCTACAACCTAGCGTGTGGGTGGTCAAGTATCAGCCATTCAGCTGCTACAACCTAGCATGTGGGTGGTCAAGTATCAGCCATTCAGCTGCTACAACCTAGCATGTGGGTGGTCAAGTATCAGCCATTCAGCTGCTACAACCTAGCATGTGGGTGGTCAAGTATCAGCCATTCAGCTGCCAAAACTTTGCATGTGGGTAGTTCTATCATCTTAAAAAAACAAAACAAAAAAACACAACTGGAGGATCTCTCAGATTATATATGTATACACTTGATTTATGGAACAAATATACCGTACTGTAACCTCTTCTGTAGTGAGTGCTCTAGCCAAGCAACATATTTAATAGAAGAATGTTGTTATATAAGGCATGGAGAAGCAAGTTGCTATCATGATTAATAAATATTCAACTCATCAATATATTCGAATAAACAAGAACATATGGGATACATCATGTTCACTGGACAGGACAAAGCACACACAAGTACACTTGCTGAAGAAACTAGCAGCCAGTCAAATCAGAGGGAAACAAAAAGCACAGAGCTACAACTAATGCCACAGGACACTTCTATGAGTCAGAACAAGATCAGCCAGAAATCAACACATTTTAGATACCCTAACTGAGAGACTCGGCCTCAACAGAAAACTGAGAACGTACTGTATATGTATTTATCTGACCACTGTTTGTGTAGAGCTACATGTCAGTTAGCAGAATGATACTGTCTCCACATAGCAAGAGTTACAGTGTAGATACCAGCTCAGTGTGAAAGGCATTGGTAGCTCTGAGGCTTATGTCAGGATGTTTGGCTCACTGAATGAATCCCAACCGTGTCAAGGAGTTCAGAAACACAGTTCACAACCAACTCAAGGAGTAAAATCTTCAGTTCTCTGCCTTTTAAAGGATATAAATGTCCCCCTGAGCCTACTTATAAAAATATATACTATTCATAACAGAAAGGTATAAAAATAGATCTTTGCCCCACATTTCTGAACATGATTATTGTGACTGAAACACTAAGCAAATGTCCACAAAAGAAAAAGAATTCTAGGACAATCAACAACAGAAAACTGACTTCTGTGTTTCAATCCAAGCTAGCAATAAACAAACAATGATTCACAATAAATCTTTTAAAAACAATTGCCGACATGCCGTCTTCATAAGATAAAGTGTACTCATACCACAAGATGTTTTTTGCAATTTGAAATCTTAAATGCAATTTAAAAAATAAAATACATATGAAATTAATTAATCTATACATGCACACAGACACACACGACACAACTACATTGCAACTTGTAAGCTAAATCTTGCATATTCATGCTGTACAATGTTAAAACTCTATGCTACATGATGACCTCAGCACACACTGGTAAGATCACTTCCCCAGGCGACAGATGCTTGCCTTATCACCCCCTGCCTCTCCTCTTCATTTCCAACAACGACTGCCTTGAATCACCAACAGAAACAACTGCTACCAGGAATCAACATTTGACTTACACCACCAAGAAACCTGACAGATTTCCAGATTAAACAAATTAAAAGAAGAAGACAAAATTCCAGATACTGCAGTCTCATCCCAATGGCAATGAAAACCAAACAGCTAGTTTTGGTGGACATTTTTTAACTTAATTAAACAATAGAGTCACTAACATTAACAGAGGTAAACAGAGGTAGTACAGTACAGACATGGCATTTGTTAAGAAGCTGTTGAATTTTGATTGATAAACCTACTGTAAACATTCATAAGTTTGTCATTCACTACAAAAACACTGATATGAAATCTGTACTTATGTCATAGCAAAATGTATATACAAATTGCATGTTTCAACAAATTGCTATGCTGTGAATAAAGACAGTTACAGGAGAACAGGAGGAAGGGGCTAACAAAGAAACAGCTATCAATCTCCAGGCAGCAACCAGGGTATGTTGACCTGCATTTTTCAACTCAGAGGTCACTCTCTCCATAGAGGGCTGTGGAGAAGGACATGTAGTCAAGAGCTCCTGGGACCGCATCACGCCCAGTGTATGGTGCCATGCGCTGGATGCAGTACTCAGCTTGGTCTGCAGGCAGTTCTTGTCTCAGGATCTGAGCTGTGATATATGGCTGTCAGAGAAACATACTCTTCATTATTTAGGAGCTAAAGTGTTTAATTCGGCTACAACTTGAATAATGCTTCGATACTTTTGTAAGAGAAAAAAAAAACAACAACAAAGAAGTCAGGTAGTCTTGATGAAAGCTATCATGCGGTCTATATCTCCCTGCTTTGTTATGTTTGGGTTGGAAGAGGCCAGGTGGCTGCTCTGTTAGCATCACACAGTTGGGAGTGTTGAAACACATGCTAGCATTTTCAGGTGCCTGTGGGGACACACATCCATGTCTCCTACATATACAAACTTGAATACATGTTTGCAAAGTCTGTAGTGCGCTGTCCATAGTCTAAATGACATACTATCCTCTAGAGAGGCCATGAAGCCAGTCTTGGGGAGAACATTTTGTGTGCATCTAGTCATCTTCTTGTATAACAGATCTTATTATAATCTTAGCCTCCTGGTGGGTTACATTACAATATGACTCACTGCCTTACAAGTGACAGTGACCTGGAATCCACTGCAGGACAGACTGTTTGACTGAAGAGCCTGTATTAATCAGACTGATTTCAAATACCATAATGCAACAAACAAGTAAAGAGATCTTATTTACATCTTAGAGCATAAGGCATATGGTGCCCGCTACCTACTTTTATATATAACTGCACTTGAAGAGTGTGGCATGCAGAGTGCCCAGCTATGGTGTGCCGAGTGCCCAGATATTGCATTCCGAGTGCCCAACCGCAATAAAACTCTCTGGTAGATACAGGCGATGGTATCAGTGGGTAAATGTACCAGATTCTCCACACACTGAGAAGCCTGGGTCTAAGATGTTAGCTATATATATTTATAAACCAATTATCATTGTTATCACAATAGGTGAGCCGTCTTCCCTGAAAATGTCTTCACATATTAATATTGAGACTGACCTGGGAACTTAGTTTTATTTACACAATAATTCCTGCCTTGATGAGTATTTGAATTCAAGACCAGTAGACAGTGAGGCAAGCGTGTAGACAGTAAGGCAAGCGTGTAGACAGTAAGGCAAGCGTGTAGACAGTAAGGCAAGCGTGTAGACAGTAAGGCAAGCGTGTAGACAGTAAGGCAAGCGTGTAGACAGTAAGGCAAGCGTGTAGACAGTAAGGCAAGCGTGTAGACAGTGAGGCAAGCGTGTGGACAGTGAGGCAAGCGTGTGGACAGTGAGGCAAGCGTGTGGACAGTGAGGCAAGCGTGTAGACAGTGAGGCAAGCGTGTGGACAGTAAGGCAAGCGTGTAGACAGTAAGGCAAGCGTGTAGACAGTAAGGCAAGCGTGTAGACAGTAAGGCAAGCGTGTAGACAGTGAGGCAAGCGTGTGGACAGTGAGGCAAGCGTGTGGACAGTGAGGCAAGCGTGTAGACAGTGAGGCAAGCGTGTAGACAGTGAGGCAAGCGTGTAGACAGTGAGGCAAGCGTGTGGACAGTGAGGCAAGCGTGTAGACAGTAAGGCAAGCGTGTAGACAGTAAGGCAAGCGTGTAGACAGTAAGGCAAGCGTGTAGACAGTGAGGCAAGCGTGTAGACAGTAAGGCAAGCGTGTGGACAGTGAGGCAAGCGTGTAGACAGTGAGGCAAGCGTGTGGACAGTGAGGCAAGCGTGTGGACAGTGAGGCAAGCGTGTAGACAGTGAGGCAAGCGTGTGGACAGTGAGGCAAGCGTGTAGACAGTGAGGCAAGCGTGTAGACAGTGAGGCAAGCGTTATGACAGTGAGGCAAGCGTGTAGACAGTGAGGCAAGCGTGTGGACAGTAAGGCAAGCGTGTGGACAGTGAGGCAAGCGTGTAGACAGTGAGGCAAGCATGTAGACAGTGAGGCAAGCGTGTGGACAGTAAGGCAAGCGTGTGGACAGTAAGGCAAGCGGGTGGACAGTAAGGCAAGCGGGTGGACAGTAAGGCAAGCGTGTGGACAGTAAGGCAAGCGGGTGGACAGTAAGGCAAGCGGGTGGACAGTAAGGCAAGTGGGTGGACAGTAAGGTAAGCGGGTGGACAGTAAGGCAAGTGGGTGGACAGTAAGGCAAGCGGGTGGACAGTAAGGCAAGCGGGTGGACAGTAAGGCAAGCGTGTGGACAGTAAGGCAAGTGGGTGGACAGTAAGGCAAGTGGGTGGACAGTAAGGCAAGTGGGTGGACAGTAAGGCAAGTGTGTGGACAGTAAGGCAAGCAGGTAGACAGTAAGGCAAGCGTGTAGAAAGCAAGGCAAGCGTGTTAGCCACTTTAGTTCCTTTAGTGAAGGTTTGAAACACCACATCCTCCCTGTTGAGCTTACCTTATCTCCTGCCAGGATTTTGAATGACTGCATGACCTGCTCAGCAGTGTCCGTGTCAGCAGTTTCTCTTGTCATGAAATCCAAGAAAGCATCAAATGTGACGTAGTTGGTGCGGTTCGGATCCACGATAGACATGATACGCTGGAAATCAGCCTCACCCTGGTTTCAATGAAAGTAAGTATTCATTTCAGGAACAGAAACAAGCTGTGTATGCAACTGAATGGCATATGGTAGTCAAGGAGTCTGAAGTGACAAAACTTCCATTATACTATGCATGAAGCATTTATGATTTGAGAGACCTGTTTCTTCCCCAATTGGAGACAGAACTGGAAACAGATCCTAGGCACCAACTAGCATCCAACTAGGGCAATTACATTAACTACCAAAAAAAAAAAAAAAAAAAAAGATTTAAAACAAAAAGATGTCAACATTAAAAAAAATAAAACAAAACTATATATAATATTGTCGGCTCTGTGGCCAAGTCGATGCGAACACTTCATAATGCTGGGTTCGATCCCAATTGCGGACCATGCGCCTTGCATTGGTTTCGACAGTGGTATCAAGAAAGGTGATTGTCCATAAAGCAATGGCAAACTACTGGACATAAATTTGCCTAGAAAAACCACACAACAGCCAAGGGCTGTTGGGGTTGGTTCTGCAAGGTCCTGTAAAGGATACGCAACTAACCTTTATATATAATATCAGAACAGATGACTGGATTTCTTACACCAGATGGCCAAACAAAAAGTGAAATATTGATTCTACCTGAAATCTGTGTACTAGGATCTACGATCTCTATTCACACTTCTGATGGACACTACATTTGTTGCACAAGCTGATGGACACTACATTAGTTGCACAAGCTGATGGACACTACATTTGTTGCACAAGCTGATGGACACTACATTTGTTGCACAAGCTGATGGACACTACATTTGTTGCACAAGCTGATGGACACTACATTTGTTGCACAAGCTGATGGACACTACATTTGTTGCACAAGCTGATGGACACTACATTTGTTGCACAAGCTGATGGACACTACATTTGTTGCACAAGCTGATGGACACTACATTTGTTGCACAAGCTGATGGACACTACATTTGTTGCACAAGCTGATGGACACTACATTTGTTGCACAAGCTGATGGACACTACATTTGTTGCACAAGCTGATGGACACTACATTTGTTACACAAGCTGATGGACACTACATCTGTTGCACAAGCTGATGGACACTACATTTGTTGCACAAGCTGATGGACACTACATTTGTTGCACAAGCTGATGGACACTACATTTGTTGCACAAGCTGATGGACACTACATTTGTTGCACAAGCTGATGGACACTACATTTGTTGCACAAGCAGCAAAGCATCAGTATTCTAATTCACTGTGAACCCAGTATGATAAGACATAAAAACAATCACAATAGTTCTACAAACCAGGGATTTCTATTCTGTGTGAAACTACTACTTTGGCATATTTTCACTTTTAACTTCTTAAGTATTGTCACTGTCACTCAATATGCAAGCTATATGTCTTTACATTTTCAGTTATATTCATATCTATCTATCTATCTTCTTTTACCCCACCAGGACATCACACAAGCGATAAACATCCGAAGAAACAAAGTGCGACCATGTGGATGAGGATCACCTGTGGAGAGGTCCCAGAAACTGCGTTCAGCCATTAGACCACATTTATGGCCGGGCTATACTGGGAGCCCCTGGCAAGAGCCAGAGTAGTGCTTCAAATAACAAACAACTACATCCTAAAAAGGGATGACAAGATAGTTTTTTAAATAAATATTCATTTGATAGTATGCATATTATGAATATCAAAGGGGAAAAAACACAAAAGCATGGGTGATAAAATGCATGCACCCACTAGCACCCACATACCTTCACACACACATACATGAAGAAACAGACACAGACATACACACAAACACACATATATACACGCACACACACACAACTGCAGACACACACACACAAGATGATGCTCAAACAGACACACACATGCAAACGCAAATGCAGACACACATACATAAACACAGGCACACAAACAGATACACACAGACACACATCCACAAAAATGCAGACACATACGCAGACATACAGACACACAATCACACACAGACATATACATGCAGGCACACAAGCAGACACACACACACATGCAGACACACCCAGAGACAATACACATGGACATACACACAGAGACAAACACACACATATTCAGACAGAAAAACACATATATAGACACTCATGCAGACACACATGCACGCATTCACACATGCACATACAAACACACACACAAACACAACAAAAACACACACACACACACAAACGCAGGCACAGCGACAGCCAAAAGACTTAGAACACACAGACACGCAAACACATGAACAGACACTTACACACACAGTCATACATGCACAAACACAGACAGACACACATACACAGACACACACACAAACACACACAGACATAAACATACACACAAATGCACATACACAGAGATGCACACAGGCAGACATGCACACGTAGACACATACATTCTGTGAAGGAGATTGGAAATACTGTGAAGGAGATTGAATATACTGGGAATGAGACTGGATATACTGTGAAGGAGATTGGACATACTGTGAAGGAGATTGGACATACTGTGAATGAGACTAGATATACTGTGAAGGAGATTGGAAATACTGTGAAGGAGATTGGATATACTGTGAATGAGACTAGATATACTGTGAAGGAGATTGGACATACTGTGAAGGAGATTGGATATACTGTGAATGAGACTAGATATACTGTGAAGGAGATTGGACAGACTGTGAAGGAGATTGGATATACTGTGAATGAGACTAGATATACTGTGAAGCTACAGAAACCAACAGCATCACATGAGGGTTACACACACAACCACTGCCACAGCTCCACCTACTGAGACTGCTGAGAGATAACACATGTCAGCACCCACCTGTTTGTCATCTCTGATCTTATAGCCTAAACTGATAAGGCAAGCTTTGAACTCCTTAGGCTCCAGTCTCTTGGTGTGATTTTTGTCAAAGTGGTTGAATGACATCCTGAACTCATTCATCTGAGCCTCAGTGATGCCCTTGGAGTCCCTGGTCAGAATCTGTTGGAATAAAGTGGGTTATTCAACACTTAAGCATAAATTCCCCCCTCCCCCCCCCAACCACAAAATACAGTCATTTAGAAGAGGTAGAAATTTCTTTTATTATCAAAGCTGGGGTTTTGAATGTACATCTGTTTTACAGATCTGGTTTATTTGTATTCAGACTGTTGGTTCCTCACCTCTCAGACAGATGCACTCCGTCTCTGAAGGAAACCGCAGTCTAAAAGTTCAACACACTTCCGTTTAATAATTACATTTGTCAAATGGATGCCTGCCCCTTAATATCTGCTTGTCCTATCTGGTCAGCTGATCCTTCTGATCTCACAACATATTGATTTTTGTGTACTGAGAATAAATATAAATTACAAGAGGAGGACCCGCATAGTGGGGTAGATGTATTAGTGTTTGATAATGAAAGCTTTCTGGTTGTAAGTCAGTCACTTCTTTTATTACTTGTGGTTCTATACTTGTCTTTGTAAAGATGATCCTTTCAGTTCTATGTGTTTTTTCATACAATTGAATTCACTGTGTTTCTACAGCTTTAGTAAATATAAAACCACTTCCTCTGCTGTCATTCAAACAAGCATTAAGAATATATTTACAACAACAACTGTAGAAAAAATGTAGTGAGAGACAGCTGGAAAGGTTGGGGATGGGGTGGGGGTGGGTGTTTAAGTGTGTGTGTGTGTTTAAGTGTGTGTGTGGAGGGGGTGGGGTGTGTGGAGGGGGTGGGGTGTGTGGAGGGGGTGGGGGGGGGGGGAGAACCAGAGCTAGGGAAATAGCAGAAAAGATGGAGGAGAGATTTATACAGCTAAGTGACTTCCTTAACCCTTTCAGTTATCAACATGAGAGTGTGACTAGCTCTCACGTGTAAATGCCAACCATCATACATTGTCCACTTTTTTTTTGCTTCCTTGAAAAATGACCTAATTATTTCCAAGAAATGCAACCTATTATTCTGAATGCCTAGATTCATTCACTGCAATAAATAGCACAGTATGAATACAAGTGAATAAGTAAACTGTCTGACCTGGTTTTCTACTTCATTGATGTTTCTAGCAATGGCTGTCATCAACTGCTCCCAGCCAACTCTCAAGGTCTACGTTTACAAATAGACAAGAAAAGTATGTATTAAAGTCAATGAAACAATGTTTGATCCTGAAAAAAAATAAGCATGCATAAATTACGTAAATAAAAATAACTAATTTGAATGAATGTTGACATTTCACTTTGATCATAAAGATAATGTTAGTTCATTCAATTTCTGACAAGATACATAGTTTTTACATATGTTCATTAAATACTTTACTGTGTATGGTTTGTGTGTGTGTGCAAATCAAGCGCAATCGCCTCTGCAGGGCTCCATCTTCTTGGCACTAAAACTCCAATTAAGGTTACACCTTCCAAGGGTTAAACTGATAAAAACATGAAACAAGCTGTGGATTTTTATGAAATAAGGAAGGAAAGTATCATACTCTCTCCTGATTCTGAGTAAGCAGATGTAGTTCCTACCCTTCTGAGATCAGAAAAATACAGGAGAAACTAGGCATATGTTACAAACTCTTTGGTAGCTGCAAATTATAAAACAGTAGGTAGACTGGCCCAGATAAAACATGCAATTAGAAGAAACTAGGTATATGTTACAAACTCTTTGGTAGCTGCAAATGATAAAACAGTAGGTAGACTGGCCCAGATAAAACGCCCATCTAGGAGAAACTAGGCATATGTTAAAACTCTTTGGTAGCTGCAAATGATAAAACAGTAGGTAGACTGGCCCAGATAAAACACACATCTAGGAGAAACTAGGCATATGTTAAAACTATTTGGTAGCTGCAAATGATAAAACAGTAGGTAGACTGGCCCAAACAAAACACCCATCTGGATGCTCACTGGTGCTATGGAGTTTGCACTGCTTGTTGAGGAATACCTTGTATGTGTCAGGATGAGGCTTCCATAGGTACCAATGTATAATGACAACAGTCCCTGAGAGGTCAACAATGAAAGCAACAACAATATAAACACAACAACAATGAAACAATCACGAGCACTGACCTCCATGGTGTACTGTGTGTAGCGGTTCTCGAAGATCATGGCCTCCTGAACTTCCTACAATCAAACAACAGAGAAATGTCACCTCTACGTCATTCCCCATTCTTACTTTCAATATCTTCAACAGTGAGGTTCACTGATTTGTTTGTTAATTACAATTACTATGCTACTAAACAGAAAATGCTTTACTGACTGGAACATAGTGTTGTTATAATTCTGACATTCAAAATCTTTGTAATGTAAAGCGTGAAACTGTTCAAGTTGCACCAAAGAATACATTAGGGTTCAATCAATCTTTTTTTCATCTGGGTCGTCAAGAGTTTTAGGTGTATGGGCTTTCCCTTTAAATAATAACAATGCGCCACTGGATAACTATGTATATTTTTTTTAACAGTACATTTTAAATGTCTTCAACAGTGCTGGTTTACTGATATTTGTTTAGTAAATCATTTCTTGTCACCAAAATGACTTTATGCAGTATGGGAATATCAACAAGTCTGCACTCTCCTTCAACAGATCACTGGCTATCCCTGTCAGGTGTAAGTAATTCCACAGCAGATACTACGGCTTGAGTAAAGAGTTCCTGTAACTAGACCATATGTTTTATGAGATGAAATGAGTGGTTCCAGAGATTTTCAATGCAGCTGACATTCAATGTGGAGAAATCACTGGATCATGATGACAATTTAAATACAGGACTCTGAGGAAAGGCCAGACAAATATACAGACTGTTACTGATGCCATCGGAATAGGAACTCTTCTCTTGCTGTTGAACATGGGACAGACCACTTAATGGAAGTGTCCAGAGCGCTCTGATGTTAACTCTTAATTCAACATTGTAAGGTGTATAGAGCATATTTCCTTTGATATTCTTACAGACCAACTGATATCTTGCGGGTGGTGTGGTCATTAGCATGCCAGCAGTCACCTTCACTTCCTATTCTAGACTCGCCTGGCAGCATTCCATGTCAATAAAACACATGCCCTGATTGGGATTTGAAACTTGTGACTAACAAGGATATCTAGTTCCCCCTGTATGTGGGTTATGGAGCACCATAGTGCATGGGCGAAAGGGGGCCCCATAACAGACCGCCACTGCAAGTTGTTAAAGGCGACTATTTAAGGCTTTGCTGAATTCAGATGTGTTGGGCTTAAAGGTGCAGATTTCACACACCTTTTCTCATGAAGTAACCAATGTGTGTCTCATAGTTGCACATACTGTATGTAATGTCAGGCTTTCATGAGCCTCTCACAGGCAGTCACGGTTCAGAGTTTAACAGCAGATATCTGAATACTTTAGGTACATATATGGCTGCTCTGTATTTGCTAGAGGCCAGTGATCAAAGAACCAAAAGACCCTTTTTCACTGGCACACTAATGAGCATATGTGTGATGTAGTAAATCATGCTGACCACCTTTACTTCCCAAGACATTTCCTGGACCCAATCTTAGCTAAGTCAACCTAAGAGTCTAGATCAATTATATAAAATTTAGATGCACATCGACCTCCAAGTCGGTAGGCACATGTCTAGCTCCTGAACCTCCGCAGCACTCTCCCATAGTCAGAGTTAGAAAAAAAAAAAAACTTACAGAGTAAATTAACACATACTGAAATACAAAATTAGCAGCATATAGAACACAACAAAATGAAGACCATATGTAATAAATAATGTAAAAGGATCTAGTAATTTTTTAACACAGCACCCCCCACCCCCCATGAATAAAGGGACATAACTCCAGCACTATTCTCTTATCACAATAAATCTCTTTCAAAACGCTATTATGAAAAAAAAATGGTAACAAATACAGGTGAAAAAGACTAATAAGGTTGATGGAATGTTCCATCCACATAGAATAACTTATACTTTTTTTTACACAATTAAATAACATAATCTTAAAATGGCATATTCAAACCAACATACACTAATAATTTTCAACTTTGAATATTCTGAGGACAGAAATATGACCATTGCTACATTAACCGTCCTTGTCTTGGGGTGAGAGCTTGCTCAATGAGTGTTTAGCGAGAGCAAGACTGCTGACACCATAGACTAGTCAAAAAACGCATCGCCTCCTTCATTGGAGGTCTGGGTGCAATTTCTGAAGCCCGTGAGGGTACATGTAACATTGAAGTGAACAATATAGACTGCATACTTAGCCACCCAGTAGTACAGAACCAGACACATGCTTGCCAATCTCCACCTTTCTCCACCATATGGCTTAGTGAATCTGTTCCTATCACACATCCCTTTCTAAACCTGACCTCATATCAATCATATGCTAGGCTTTTTTGAACACATGGTCAGCCAGTCAGTAGCATGTCTTTTGCATCCATTCTTTCTCTCTTCCCAGGCAACACAGCCACTGCATAGATAAATCCCATCACCTAAGCGGCAACTGTCATGAATTTATTTTAGACTCTGATTTTCCAGTGCTGGCTAGGCAATTCCTGTACTACCTGCCCAATGTGATTATGAAAGTCTGATTTTTACTGATTCTCTCCTCTCCTCGCCCCCAAGTTCTTTTTTAAGCATGCGCACATCTTTAATTGTTCTGCCTGAGCCATCAAGACTTCAGTGGGGCAAGAAGGTGCAACCCTGGGTGCCATCACTGAGAGACTGGGGGAGGAGAAGATGTGTGACACAATGGCAAAACCATTATTTTCCACACTGGGTACCAGCTGACCCTGCTGTGCTACTGTCTGTGAACTTTTGCTGTATCTCTTGTCTGTGACTACTCTGAGGTATGACCTCGTTTACAGTACTCTGAGCCTTTCTAAAACAGATGGCAGCGCAAGGATGCATCTATTTTTATCTGCCAGTCACTGACAAAGAAAATCAATTATTCCAAATTCTGACACCACCAACTTTTAGTGCAAATAATTTTCAAGAACATTTACAAAGACAAATAAAATTCATTAAAGCCTATCTCTCTTCAAGAGATCAGAAACCAGACTCACCTGGTTGTATCTTTCCAGCTCCTCCATATTTGGTTTATATGCAACCACAGCTTTATCAAACTGTTGCAGCTTTTTCAGCTGCTCTTCCAGAGATGAGCGGCCTGTCACGCCAATTGAGGCAACTGCATCCAGTTGGGTCTCTATCCACTGGCCAACAACATTAGCCTTAGCAGCAAACTGGCGACGCAGACGCTCGTTGTTCTGCTGTCTCATCATCTCCTGCTGCAGCATGGCATCTCTGTGTGGGATCAGCTGCTTCACCTCGCTCCACTTGTTGGAGATGTCCTGCAAGAGGAATGTAGCAACACGAGGTTCTTAGATCATCTTCATTTGTCGTACGGGCAGTACATACAATTACAATATATAGAACATAGTCAAACACCGACATCAATTACATACAATCCACAGCCTCATGGCTGAGTACAAGTTTTCTCAAAGACTGGCAAGAGACAGCTGCTGAAATAAAAGGAACAAGTGAAAGATTGTGGCCAAACTAAAAGACATAAGACTGTTACACAAATTATACTGGAAGGAGAAGTTGTAGACAAGTGAGAATGTAGTAGACAACAATGCAAGAAAAGGTTAACAAAGAGCTAGTCGAGCAGCAGTGTGAGACAGTGCACAACCACGATGAGAGATCAAATGTGTTGGAGATCCTTAACAGCCAATCTTTCTTGTAGAGACAACCTCTAATAGATAGAGCAAATATTTTTATCAAATGGTGTCATGCGTGACCACAATATAATTTTTCACCCTAATTTTCCCAACTTTTACAATATAGTTGCACTCTATTACACACTTAAATAGCAATTATTTAAAAAAAGATTTTTTTTTAAAAGTTAAGTTAAATTTGTTAAATGAATACTGTTTAAAATATATTTAAATAATTTAAAAAAAAAGAGGATGAAATCTGTTCTGTAAAAAGTTTTCAAGAATAAAGACTGGCCTGTTAAAAGTTGTTATACTAAAAGAGTGTTGAAATATGCTTGCAGCTTCTAGGGTGGAGTTTGTTGGCTTGGGAAGCTTATATAAGTGTATGAAGTATCTTGGATAGAGAAGACTGATGGAGTTGAATGTGCACCGAATACAGAGGTTGTAGGGTTTCAAACATGGTATGTTTGTACCATATAACACACATATCATCAAATATTGCTTGTAATCCCCGTGCAGCAGATGGCTCCACAACAACCACTTTTCTACATTTGCTATGCTTCATTGACTTTATTCAACCTTATATATAAAATCTCCTTGGTCTGCTTTGGTGTAGTTCTTATTCAGCTTAGTTCTGGCCTCACCACCTTTCTGTTACCGTTGGAATCCAATCAAAGGTACTTCTAGTTTCAAAGATAACATATATAATACACAAAAATACTTGAACCATTTTGACATTTAAAAAAAAAAATGTGTTTATTAAAATATTTTTGTAAATGCAATAAAGAAACATGGGAATGTAGTAGCAGTAAAATTTAAGCATAGGAAAAGAAACAGAAAAGTCCAGAGCAAATAGGTCATGAAATTCTTAACAGTCACTGACAAAGCCAAATTTAGTTGGGGGGAAAAAGTGTATCAAATTTTTTATTCTTAATGTGTGTTTTCTGCAGGATACTGATCATGGCAAGAAGGAAATGATAAATAAAAATGATAGTCTAAGACAAAAACATGTGTATCTTTCTGCTGAAACATAACAAGTACAATTAGCTGTTGTACAGGAGGAGACTAGAGTACTTAGCCATCTGTCCAGTGCAATAAAGATACTTTACTGAAGTTTTGCAGACACTGTGTAATGTTTGTTTCTATAGCAGTATGAAAGTCAGTTATTACAAGCTAAATGTATCTAGGTTTACAGACAGAGTGTGATGTTTCTACAGCAGTATTAAAATCAGTTATCAAAAGAAAAATGTAAGTAGGTTTGCATAGTGTGACGGTTCTACAGTATAAAAATCAGTTAACAAAGATAAATAGTTTAGTTAATTGATCAACATCATGGCACACGGGTGTAACCCATGAGTGCTCCGTTCTACTTCTAACTCAAGCCTGAGTCTGAAGAATCTTAAGGCAGCGAGCGCCATTAGGCTACTCTTTTCTATTTCCACTGGCCAAGAGATTTTTTACGTGTGCAAGAATACACAAGGGCGTCTGATCTTAATACCCAGAGACCAGGGGACATTACTAGAAGAAAAAATCCCAGCCTCTAGGGGCTTGAACCTGGGGCCTCCAGCACTCGAGGCAGACACCATACCTCGAGACCACAAGATAAATGTATTTAGGTTTGCAGACATAGTGTGAATAAATTCTGCCCCCTTGAAATGTCACAAAAGTTTAGAGAAAACAATAATGGAGGGAAACATGCCTAGGAAGAGAGAAAGAGGAAGAGCAAAGAGAAAATGGGTGCAGGATGTGGCGAATGATCTCTAGATGGGCATATCGGATGCAGGACATCTTGTTTGTGATCGAGAATTTTTTCCCTAAGGTTGTTATGGGAGCAAGGTTCTGCAAAGGACATGCTACAGACAGACTGACTGACTGAGACATAGTGTGATGGTTCTACAGTATAAACATCAGTTAACAAAGATAAATGTATTTAGGTTTGCAGATATAGTGTGATGGTTCTACACAGTATTAAAATCAGTTATCAAAAGATAAATGTATTTAGGTATGCAGACATAGTGTGATGATTCTACAGCAATAAATAAAAATGTCATCCAAAGATAAATGTATGTAGGTTTGCAGATATAGTGTGATGGTTCTACAGTAATATAACAATCAGTTAACAAAGATGAATGTATTTAGGTTTGCAGATAAGTTTGATGTTTCTACAGCAGTATAAACATCAGATAAGAAAGATAAATGTATTCAGGCTTGCAGACATAGTGTGATGTTTCTACAGTAGAATAAATAACAGTTAACAAAAGATATACATATGTAAGTTTGCTGACCGTATGTGATGTTTCTACAGCAGTATATAAATTAGTTAACAAAAGATAAATGTATGTAAGTTTGCTGACAGTGTGTGATGTTTCTACAGCAGTATATAAATTAGTTAACAAAAGATAAATGTATGTAAGTTTGCTGACAGTATGTGATGTTTCTAAAGCAGTATATAAATTAGTTAACAAAAGATAAATGTATGTAAGTTTGCTGACAGTATGTGATGTTTCTACAGCAGTATATAAATTAGTTATCAAAAGATAAATGTATTCAGGCTTGCAGTAGAATAAATATCAGTTAACAAAAGATGTACATATGTAAGTTTGCTGACAGTATGTGATGTTTCTACAGCAGTATATAAATTAGTTAACAAAAGATAAATGTATGTAAGTTTGCTGACAGTATGTGATGTTTCTACAGCAGTATATAAATTAGTTAACAAAAGATAAATGTATGTAAGTTTGCTAACAGTATGTGATGTTTCTACAGCAGTATATAAATTAGTTAACAAAAGATAAATGTATGTAAGTTTGCTGACAGTGTGTGATGTTTCTAAAGCAGTATATAAATTAGTTATCAAAAGATAAATGTGTGTAAGTTTGCTGACAGTATGTGATGTTTCTACAGCAGTATATAAATTAGTTAACAAAAGATAAATGTATGTAAGTTTGCTGACAGTATGTGATGTTTCTACAGCAGTATATAAATTATTTAACAAAAGAAAAATGCACACAGGTTTGCAGACATTGTGTGATGTTTCTGCAATTGTATATAAACAAGTCAAAGATAAAATTGCAGACATAAAAAGCAACCAAATGATTCTGACATCAACATTAACTCTACACCATCCATCTTCAGAGCAAACATTCAACATGCAGCAGCAACAAACCAGTAAGTTCACGTTCTGTGTTATTATTTTATCAAAGGATTGTTTCTGAAAATAACAACAGCCCGAAAAGTTTAAGCACACCTGTTGTGCCAAATAACAGATGCGGTGCAGCTGCTAGTCTGTCAGCCTAAAGTTCTTGTGTTTAAAACAACACAGCTGTAGATTTTAACTCGGCCAAAGTGGGTAACCAGCCTGGGAAGTAGAGGCAACTGGCAAGATGTTGACCAAATCACACATCAAGAGCTGATTGGTCTATAAAAGTCCAGCATTAAAACCTGACGTGCCAGAGGTGTGATGTCTTTTAAAGTGGCTTGCAGATCTTATGTACACACTGAGAATGTTATCAATTTTATTTTTAAAAGATGTCTAACATGAATTGAATTAATGTGACATTCTGAGGAGACCAATGTAACTTTATATTAGTTACCCAAGAAACTGTTTTCATTTTCAAATGTTTATTTTCAAACATGGATGCCTAATGTAGCTTAATGTAGTCTCTAAGTGGAGCTAAATGTCTCACAATAGAATCAAATGTAGTCCAATAATAGAATCAACTAATGAAGTCAAATATGGTCTCCTACTGAAGCCTAAATATTGCCGTCTAAGTCTTCATTAGCTAAATGTAGTCTCAAAGTGGAGCTAAATGTCTCACAATAGAATCAAATGTAGTCCAATAATAGAATCAACTAATGAAGTCAAATATGGTCTCCTACTGAAGCCTAAATATTGCCGTCTAAGTTTTCATTAGCTAAATGTAGTCTCAAAGTGCAGCTAAATGTCTCACAATAGAATCAAATGTAGTCCAATAATAGAATCAACTAATGAAGTCAAATATGGTCTCCTACTGAAGCCTAAATATTGCCGTCTAAGTCTTCATTAGCTAAATGTAGTCTCAAAGTGGAGCTAAATGTCTCACAATAGAATCAAATGTAGTCCAATAATAGAATCAACTAATGAAGTCAAATATGGTCTCCTACTGAAGCCTAAATATTGCCGTCTAAGTTTTCATTAGCTAAATGTAGTCTCAAAGTGCAGCTAAATGTCTCACAATAGAATCAAATGTAGTCCAATAATAGAATCAACTAATGAAGTCAAATATGGTCTCCTACTGAAGCCTAAATATTGCCGTCTAAGTCTTCATTAGCTAAATGTAGTCTCAAAGTGCAGCTAAATGTCTCACAATAGAATCAAATGTAGTCCAATAATAGAATCAACTAATGAAGTCAAATATGGTCTCCTACTGAAGCCTAAATATTGCCGTCTAAGTCTTCATTAGCTAAATGTAGTCTCAAAGTGCAGCTAAATGTCTCACAATAGAATCAAATGTAGTCCAATAATGGTTTATCAAACAGCTGCCTCACAAAAAAGACAATATAATTATATCCCCTGATGTCTCTCTCTCATGGGTCTTTATACTGCCCAACCAATTCCCATTGCGTGTAAAATGATAGAACATGCTTTATCTCTC